CGGCAGCCACATCTTCGTCGATGCCCACGGCCACATGAGCACCCGCATTCGCAGGCAACCCACAACGCCGAGAAGGGAGGGGCGGGGGAAGGGGCACGGGGAAGAGATGGCGAGGGGGGAGGAGAAGGGGAGTGGCACAACGGAGAAGGGAGCGGCGGCGAAACAATCCGCCACTAATGCAGTCAGGCAGCCTCTAAAATAAACGATCCCCAAACGCCCCCTGTGTGACTGCATCTCTTCCCGTCGCACAGCACGTCGGCGACGGACCTGCGAGCGCCGACTCTCCCAGTCACCAACTCTTCTTCCTCCTCCTCCTCAACACCCTCATCATTACCATTCGCAGCATCATCATCATCAACATCATCATCACCATCATCATCAGCATCAGCAGCAGCATCATCATCAGCATGATCCTCCTTCTCCACCTCCTCCACCTCCTCCTCCTCCTCGTCCTTCTTTTCCTCATCCCATCTTTCCCCTCCCCTTCCTCCCAATTCCTCCTCATTCCTCCTCCTCCTCCTCCTCCTCCTCCTCCTCCTCCTCCTCTATCCTCTATCCTCTATCCTCCTCCTCCTCCTCCTCCTGGTCCTCCTCCCTTGTCCTTCCTGTCCTCCTCCTCCTCCTCCTCCTCCTCCTCTCCTCCTCCTCCTCCCCCCCCCGCCTCCTCCCCCTCCTCCTCCTTTCCCTCCCCTTTCCTCCCTCCTCCTCCTTCTCCTCCTTACCCCCTCCTCCTCCTCCTCCTCCTCCGTCTCCCCCTCCCCCTCTTGCTCGTCCTGGTCCTCCTCGTACTCCTCCTCGCCCTCCACCTCCTCCTCCTCCTCCTCCTCCTCCTCCTCCTCCTCCTCCCATCATCCCTCCTCCTCCTCTTCCCCCTCCCCTTCCTCCTCCCCCCCCGCCCTCCTTCCCCCCCGCTCTCCTCCTTCCTCCTCCTCCTCCCCCTCCTCCTCCTCCTCCTCCTCCTCCTCCCTCCTCCTCCTCCTCCTCCTCCTCCTCTCGCCCTCCTCCCGCCCTCCCCCCCCCCCCCTCCCCTTCCTCCTCCTCCCCCGCCCCTGCCGCTCCGACCGGGCAGGCGGGCCGCGCACCAAACCCGGGACCCCGCCCCGGGGCCCGCCGGCAAGCGCTTCCAACGGCCCCGCCGGGCCGGGGCCAAGTGCGGAGGGCAAAGGGGAGGCGCCTCGCACCGTCGAGCCGCCGGCGGCAGGAGCGCCAGCTCGCCACCGCTCGGACGTCCACGCCCCGCTGCGTGTCTTTGGGAGGGGGCCAGGTGGTCAAGGGTGCGCCTCCAGGGTCCCCGCCGAGGCAAAGAGGCGCACGGGGGAGCGGTGCCAGGCCAAGCGAGGAGCGGAGCTCTTTGTGGCACCAAGAGAGTCTGGGTGCACGAGGAGAGTATGAACGCTGCAGTTCCTTCTTTCGATATCTGGTCCCCCAATCGAGAGGCGAGGGAGGCCAATGCAACGATGGACGGACAGAGGGATTCAAGGATTGGCATGCCTGAGATCTGTTTTTCGGCGATGTTCCGCACGAATTGTCGCCGTGCGTGATTTGTAATATCAGGACCCCTAACCCTTTGGGAGGGGACCTCAGTCAGGAGGCCAGAAACATTAGGGATTTGGGGTCTCCCCCTCTCCTCCTCCTCCTCCTCCTCCTCCTCCTCCTCCTCCTCCTCCTCCTCCTCCTCCTCCTCCTCCTCCTCCTCCTCCTCCTGGTTTACGGGCAAGAGAAAAGGATGGAGCTAGGAGGGTGGGCGTGAGCACCCCCGAAAGGCTGGCTGGCGCCTGGGCTGTAGCCACCGCGACCTCTCGCCCAACCCAGCAGTCAGGCCTCTCTTGGGAGGGCCTGCGCAGCTCAGAAATCTCCATTGCGAGATGCGGGCGAGGTTCTCGCGGCCCTTCTTCGAAGGGTTAGAGCACTCAGCACCAAGCTGCCGCCCGTCCATGGTGGCTGTACGACCGCAGTGGTGGCAAACATGAACGCCAAACGGTCCCAAGCAACCACGAGTCCTGGAACCGAGACGGCAACATCTCGAGGCCACTTCTGGGCCCCTTCACAAACACACTCCGAAACACAGAACTCCAGAGGAGCGCCCTAAGTAGAGAAACTCCCGCACCTGGAACACCTGAAATGTTCGCCACGCTGGGTGACATGGCGGGCACTGGCACGGGCGGCACGATCCCTCATGGTGCCCCCTCGGGCCCTCCCGGGGGCTTTAGGGAGTTCTCGGGCTTGACAGGATTGATCGTTGCAGAGTCCGCCAAAGCTCTGCGGGCCCTCCTCCCGACCAAAGACGCGATCAGATCCCAGCGGTCCGTCGAGAGCGTCCGCGGTGAGACCAGGCTCCCAGTTGCGTTCTCTTCTTGCCTCCTCGTTCCTCCCTCCTCCTTCCTTCCTCCTCCTTCCTCCCTTCTCCCTCCTCAATCCCTCCTCCCTCCTCCTCCTCCTCTTCGTCCTCCTATTCCTCCCTCCTCCCTCCTCCTCCGCCTCCTCCGCCTCCTCCTCCTCCTCCTCCTCCTCCTCCTCCGCCTCCTCTCCTCCCTCCTCCCTGACCCTCCTCTGAGCACTCGCATCCTTCGGGGATGCGCCTGCTGGAGAGGGATGGGGGAAGTCCCTGCGAACCCACATTAGAGGAGCAACAAAAACAGTATACATAACATGTCTCGAAGGTCCGCGTGGAGTTCTTGGATCGGCGCTCGCCTTCCCTCCATGGCGCGCGGAACGGGCCAGGACGGCGCCGGAGCCACTGCAAGGAGAGCCCAGCGCCGATCCACGAAATCCACGCGGAGCTCCCACAGGTTATGTTTTTGCATTTTTCCCCATCCTCCTGTGTGCTCGGTCCTCGTTTTGAAACCGCAGGGCCGCGTGTCTCCTTCCATCCTTCCTTCCTGCCTTCCTTCCTCCTCCTCCTTCTCTGTTTCTCCTCGTCATTACCTTCTTCCCTCTTCACATCGCTGCCTCTCTTGCTACTCCTGCTGCCCCTCCTCATCGTCCTAATGCTGTTCCTCCTGCTGCCATTCATCCTCCTCCTCCTCCTCCTCCTCCTCCTCCTTCTGCTCCTCCTGCAACTCCTCCTCCTCCTCCTCCTCCTCCTCCTCCTCCTCCTCTTCCTCGTTGTCCTCTTCCCTGCTCCCGTCGCTTTCGGCGCCACGCCAACGTGCGAGTCCTGCCCCCCAGGAACCTCCACTCATGGCATCAGCGGGCGTGCTCGCATGGCGCCCCCTCCGCCCAATATTCGGCACACCCCTCATACAAGTCGTGACCTGCAGGGAGGAGGAGGAGGAGGATGAAGGAAAAGGATGATGATGATGATGATGATGATGATGATGATGATGATGATGATGATGATGATGCTGATGATGATGATGATGATCATCATGATGATGAGGAGGAGGAGGAGGGCCTCAATGGGAATGTTCGCATGGCGTGCCCCCCGCCCATGTCAACACACCCCTCGCACGTTCCGTACCCCACAGAGAGCCGCACCGTCCCCGCGCCCACTTAGGCACACCCCCATACACGCCTTGTGCCCCATTGGCACTGGCACTTATGGACCTGTGGCCCCAGCGGGCGTCTCCGCACGCCGTCCCCCCGCCCACTTCGGCACGCCACTCGCGCGTTTCGCGCCACCCGAAACAGCCGCACCGCTGGCCCCGGCAGGGGGGCTCCCATGGCGCCACCAGGCGCATTTCGGCACACCCCGCACGCGTTTCGCGCCCCACATGGCGCCGCGCCAGTGGCCCCACGTGGCGTGTCTGCAGGGGGGCCCCCGCGCACATTCCTCGGCACACCCTCGTGCATGTCGCGCCCCGCAGGGAGCTGCACCTGCGGCCCCAGTGGGCCTGCTCGCACGGCGTCCCCCCGCTCGTGCTGGCGACCCTCACCCGGCGCACCTATGGCCTCAGTGGGCGTGCTCACATGGCGTCCCTCCGCCCATCCTGGCACACCATTCGCACGCATCGTGCCCCACAGGGGAATGCAGCCATGGCCCCGGCGGGCGTGCTCGCATGTCGTCGCCCTCGCATGGCGTCCACTATGAACCCCGCAGGAAGTCAACGCTTACATACAGGCCAGTGCCGTTCTGGCCCGCGGCTCAGGGGCGGGCATCTCTGGTCGGAGGAATCTAAGAAATATTTGATCATAATTGCGTCTGGTAAAATTGAACGGCAAGCGCCTACGGTTGTGCACGACGCCGTCCCATCATGTAGCGCGGAACGCTTTTACATCGCAGAACTCGGGGCGCCAGGGCGTCACGTAGCGCGCGGCGGCGTCCGTCGCCCATTTCCAGTCTTCCTCAGCGGCCACCCGCCCGCTTAAAAGCTCGCTAATATGCAATATTCATCACGCCGCTCTGTTCTGTCATCTCGCACGTGACGTAGCGCGCGGCGCTGTTACTCACACTAGTGATTCTGCTCAATAATGCCTCCTCTCCCTGGCGCCGTTCTGCTCCACGTCGCGTCCATCGTCGTCTTCCCGTTGGCGGTTTGGTGTGCTGGAAATGCATGCGTGGCAGGGGGAATTTGTGCGCAACCTGGCCGCATTTGGCAGAGTTGCCAGGCATATTGCAGATCCGTCAGCGCGTTCCTATGGACTCAGCGGTCCCGTCTACAGCCGTTTAACTTCTAGAAAAGGCGGCATTCTTCGCCAGGCGAACTTTGTTCTCGGGCTGCTACGTCGTGCAATTTGGCGTCCTTCAACGGATTCCTATCCGCACTAGCGTGGCCTGGGCCCCGCCGGCCGATTTCCCCCCCTAGAGGGGGACATACAGTAGGGGCTCGACAACAAGACACCTTCCACAAGAAGCCCAACCCTGAGACCCCAGGACGTCCATTGATTTTTGGTGTGGGGACGTCACATTTTCCATGGCGAGACAATCGACACCCAAGAAGCCCACGGCGCTCTGGACGCAAGCAGAGTGTTGCTTAGCATGGGTCTCCACTGCAGCCTTGGCCCTTCGTGTTCCGAAGGGGCCTATCCCCGACCAGGACTGTGGAATAGTGGGGCCACCTTTTTTTCCAACCAGGCACCGCTTCTTATAAGTAACCACATTGGCGTTATATGACTTAGGAAAGGCTCAAATGGCTCCGCGGGTATGCTCCACCAAATGAGATAGACAAACAAGCCGAACGCCGAAGACATCAATCGACGCGACAATCACTCGCCGATCAAATCAGCGGCACCTGGGGACGCCAAATGCGCCCCAGGTGATGAAATATCGTGCTAAGCGGGGGCCAACCAAGCAAAACAACCATGCAATTATGTTGCATGCGGCGCTTCACTTCGGTCATCGCCGTAACCAGTCACTATACAACATGATGCTCACTCCGAAACAACCAACTTGCGCAATTGGGAAGGGCCTGGCTGTAGTTTGTCGAAGTCCTCCGTCTTGATCGTGATACAATGCCGAGAAGGGGCGCTATGATAATCACGCGAATGGAAGGCTCATACAAGCGAGCAAACCTCGCTGTATGGACCCTGGCTCACTCCTGTCCGCCATATTTCCGCGCTGCGATGCTCAACATGCAGCTGCCGATCTGCTGACTGAGCATTTCAGTAGCGTCGTTTCCAAGATGTTCTGACTTTGGTAGTGGCACCCACCCAGGCACCGCCAACATCCACCTCTGGTAAAGCACACAATGCGGGTTCAACAGGGCTGCAGCGTATGAGAAGCTGCTCTTCGCAGTAACAAGGACATCGGCCCTGGCAAAATGCGCAAGCGTTTCAGTTGCTTCTGTGTCCAGGTTCACAGTGGCACCCAACTTGCTGTACGGGTCGAACTCGTCGGTGTTGTTGCTGCGCCGACGCTGCTCGCTGAAGATGTGGAACTTCGCGTAGGGCACCTTCCTCCGCATGATGTTTATCAGCCAAACGTAATACTCGTGGCTCGTACCCCTCCCAGGGACCCAATCATCCACGTCTCCCCGGCGTACATGAACGGCAACGTTGAGGTCGCGGGGTTGGAAACGCACCAGGGGCATCTGCATGATAGGTGCGTTGCTGGCCCTCAATGCTGCCAATAGAGTCGAAGAAATCTAAATGCCGTAATTCTACATGAACGTGGGCCTCGTTTGCAATTGCGCCCTTATCGAGCTGCTGACTTAGAGCTTGGACAGTCGGGAACACCTGCGTATCTTGCGGCAGAGCGTCAACGTATAGGTCACACGCAAAAAACGCCTGCAATCCGGCAGAGATATTCACGCTGTGTGACCATGGCGCCCCCCCCCCAGTGAGAGCAACCCCCCGAAGCCAACATTCATCTTCTCGGCGTACCTCAGAGCACCGATGACGTTCAGGATCCTGGAACCTAGCCCGTCGGTGGCATCATGAACATAAAGCTTTCGGGCACCTCTAACACCAAGACGGTTGGGACAAGCAACATTCCTTGCGCCCTCTGGAATGAGGGCCTTCACCTCGTCGGGAGTCACGCGTACCTCGAACTCGCTGTCCTCGGGCTCCTCCTGATCTTCAAAAGGCGCGATCTGTGGATAGAGGGCCTGCCACAGGGGCGACTGGGGGGGCGGCGCGCGAAGAGAACGCACTGGAGTCGCCTGTAGCACGGTACCAACGATCAGCGCAGGAAGCGCAGCCGCGCGCATGCCGGAGATCATGCGAATCGAAGATGCGTTGCGGATTGGTCAGTGGCTGATGCACAGGTGCGGTAGGATTCGAGACAAGGCTTGAGCCAAAATGGCTACGGAATAATAGCGGGGCCAACTTACCACGGCCCAGCGGGGAGGAATAGGCCAAACGATACCGAGCCAGGGCAGGGCTGCTTAGCAAACGCCCGCGGCCGTTGCGCAAACGCCAATCATCGGGTCCACGGGTTTTTTCCTCTCTTGATTTCGGGGCTGGCAGAAGCGTGCCTGTGCGGCTGCGCAGACCCAAACCCGGGCCGGTCGGGGCCGTGCTGAGAAAGCCGGCCAGCCGCTCAGCAGCTCCCAGCTCCTGGTCATCGCAAGGCGGCGTGCCGGGGGCGGCCAAGACGAGGGCGTCCAAGAGGGGGGGGGGCGCAGCTCATGGCCGGCGGCACGTGCGCGGCCCAAGGGGGGGCCAGGGACGTCATAACACAAGAAGAAACGCCATGACGTCTGGGGAGCTATCATGACCCACGCGATGAGATCCCCCACCCCCAGTCATCACCCCCTGGTCGCTCCCGAGCATGGGGGAATCAACCCCGCATGGCTCCCAGACCCTGGTCAACCACATGGGTCCGGCTAGCCCCCTTTAGCGCCGACCACCGCGACAAGAGACCCGACGCCCGCAGCCGCCAGCGCCGACGCCGTCCTCCACCCCGCCCGCTGCGGGGCAGTGCCGAAAGCGCCGCCTTCGGCTGCGGGGGAAAGAGGGGAGGGGCACCAACCAGTTGTGATTTGGGGCCGCACGCCGCGCACAACGACCCTGGTAGCGCTGTTGTGCAGCCGCCATGATTGTTCTAAGGTGTTGCACGGGCAGGCATACACCGTCCAGATGAGCGCTACCTGGCGCCCACCTCGCCCATCTGCGCCATCCCCTCCTCCTCCTCGTGCCCCCTCCCCTTGCCTCGTCCTTCTCGTGCCCATCCGATACCGCCCCATTTCTATCATGCCCCTCCGCCTCTTCATTATCATGTCCCCTTCTGCCACGGCGCGGCGTTCCTCCTCGCCCTCCTCCGCCGGACGCGCCCCCCGTCATCCGCGGCCTCGACATCCCCTTCTCCCCATACGGCCATGTGCATTTCATTTTCCCTCCTATTGCCACCCCCCCTTTTCCTCGCCCTCGTGATGCTGACGCCGATGCTGCAGATCCTCCTGGGCCCATCTCATCCCCTCTCCTCCTGCCCTTCGTTCAACCCCCCAGCCTCGTCGCCGCCCCTTCTCTCGCACCCTTTCCACCCCATCGCACATCATCCCGAAACGCCCGCGCTTGTTGCCATCCCAAACCACGGCCCCCGTCGTGACCAACGAGAAATTTGCTAAAATTCCCACCCAATGACAACTCCAGCGAGTAGCGCGCAGCGTTTGCACAATTGCACGCGCGAGCTGTGTATTTCGCCCGCGTGCAACGCCTGCCCGAGCACGAGCCGAGAAAAACGCCCAAAAAACCGCCCAGTGACTACCCGCGAGGAGCACACTCCAAACACACAGATTGGAGCACGATGCGCGTGCACACATCACACCACGATCTGAAAACGGCGGGCCCACACGCGCGAATACACAGATGAAGACACGAGCCGCGCACAAAGATCAAATTCGTCCCCTCGAAGGTACCCCGAATTTGCCAAACCAGAACCGAAGCCGACTGACGCGCCCAGTAAGGGGGACACGCTCCCCAGGCCCAAAGCGACCCCAAAGGAGCGCAAATACACGCATCCGTGGCCTAGGGCGGCCACCGTGGAACGCGGCGCCAAGGCCGCCCCCGACGGCCCCAGAACGTCCCAAAATGGCCCCGAGGGACCCCCAAAGAAGGCCTGACGCCAGTCCGACGACGTGACAGATGCCACACGTCACGGGCCTCTTAACAGGACGAGCAGACGTAACTCGAAGCGTCGCTGCATAAACCGCTGAGTTGGCACGGCGGCGGACCTTGCCGCAGGCACCATAAGCTTTACATCTTAGCGCTCCGACTGTGTGGCGGTCGCTGCCGCCCGCGTTTGGGGTGCGCCCCGAACGTTTGCAGTGGCCGCGCCCTCTACTTGGCTGGCTCGCTGTGATCGGATACCGAGCGGGCGGCATAATACGAACGCGGGCGCGCGGCCTCATCACTTGTGCTCCTTGAAGCAAGGGGGGAACAAGGTAAAACGACGGATGGTGGAGTAGGGATGCAAAAGAGGAGGAGCGAGGAATACATTGACAAAAACAGGGGCGCTCCCCCGCTGGAGCCGCGGTCGCCTCCCACCCGATCCAGGGAGTAGAGAGAGAAAGGAAAAGGGAGCAAGGACGACGACGACGACGGAAAGCAAGATGTCAGCGGTCCGCAGATGTATCAAATATACAAACATACGTATATCTATACCGATTCGGGTGGGCGCGCTTTCTTCGAGGCATGTCAATCCCGAACCCTTACTGATTTCACTGACTGCTCCAAACTATGTAAACACCGTGCTCTCTGTAGCCCCTCGTACACAACTGCCTCACAACAGAGGGGCAGTGGATTCCAAGGCTGAGCGGGACGGCGGTGGTCTGACACCGCGTGGACCCTATCGGGGCCCTCCGAAGGCGCAGATCGTTCAATCTTTGACGCATGACCGCCGGCGTCGTTCAGCTTCGAACGCCCGCGTGGGGGGGGGAGGCAAGATGCCGGAAATATGGCCACTCTGGCGAAGGGTCCCCGGACGTGCGACGTCCTAACTTTGTCAATACGGCGAACCAGGAAGTCCCGACCCTTTCCCCAGGACAGGCTTTTCATCCCGAATCGTTCTTTGACGGCCCTGGGGTCTGGAGAGGGCCTCCACGGGCCCGAAAGCATCGAAAACCTTCCGCCCTGATCTTTTGTTTACGACGCGAGCATGTCTGGGTCACTCCTACGCGTGGCCGAAGCCTGGCCCAGTCCTTCGAGCAGGGACCGACCGTCCTGGCATTCTCATAGGCCTACTACGGAGTCTCCAGAACCCCAAAATTCTCGATTCACAAAGACAATGTTTTGCATAGCGTGAACCCGATGCGATAATGCAAGACAGCACCAGCCAGAAAAAGTTAAGAACATCTCGCGCAGACCACAAGAGGTCCTGAAAACACCCGCTGGTGGGCCTGTAGGCAAACCGGGACGCCTCGCCACTGCTTGAGCCCGCAACGGCGCGCCGGCGCCGCGCCCGCGCGAGCCCCGGGCCGAAGAACACGGTGTAGTCGAACTGCCCTGGGCGGGCGGCTATAGCGCGCGCTCGCTTCGACGAGGCCGGGGGGGGGGGCAAGCGGCGGGCAGCGCAGGCGCAGCGCCGGCGGGCTCCACATGCCAGACCTCAGAGGAGGAAGAGGTGCCCACACCGCTGCCTTCTTTGTCTTTTTATTGGCCTCCGACGGGGCCCTCGTCGCCACCGCTGAGTTCGCCTCGAAATCCTGGTCCGAACGCACCCAGGGAAAATTAATTTTCGGGGCGCACATAGGGGTATGGGGGAGGGGGGCAGGCTTCTTAGAAGGCGGCTGCCTCTGAGAAGGCGCCAGTCGCCATTCCAAGAAGCCTGGGGCGCGCCGCTTCTTAGAAGCACCCCATAGCAGCTTCTGAAAACGCAGAACCGCTGCGTAAAAACAAGCCACCTGGTCCCTGGAAGCACGCCAGGGAACAGTTCTTAAGCAGCAGCCGCGCAGGCTTCTCAGAAGGGGCGGCCGCGCCTTCCAAGAAGGGGGGGAGGAGGAGGAGGAGGAGGAGGAGGAAGGAGGAGAGGAGAGGAGAGAGGAAGGAGGAGGAGGAGGAGGAGGAAGAGAGGAGGAGGAGGAGGAGGAGAGAGGAAGGAGGAGGAGGAGGAGGGGAGGAGGAAGGAAGGGGGTCGAAAAAGACTTCCCCCCCTCCGCCTGCGCCCCTCTGCGCGCGTGACAGCCCGCGCGAGGTTTTTTGGGGAGCGCCGCGGGGTACTGGCACCTTGGCGGTGTCCCAAACGCCGCCGCAGCGCCCGGAACCCCCCGATTAATGGTTTCCTCCTCCTCCTCATCCTCCTCCTCCGCCTCCTCCTCCTCCTCCCCTCTTCCTCCCCCCTCTTCTTCCTCCTCCTCCTCCTCCTCATCCTCCTCATCCTCCGCCTCCTCTTCCTCCTCCCCGTCCTCCCTCCCCCCTCACCCCATCCCTCCTCCCTCCCCCCCCTCTCCCCCCCCCTTTTTAGGGTTCCGAACTCCGGGGGGGTCTGTCATGGAGGCCTCCCAGACGGGGCTGGAGCAGATGGGTTCGGAGGCCCCAAGGGCTGGCGGACTCTTTGCCAATCGACCTGTGGGGATCGAGCCAAATACATCCAGGCATATCCAGATAAATCAAGATACATCCACGTAGATCCAAGTAAATCCAGAGCTCTCCAAAGAAAATTTGAGCACCTCGTGGCCGCTCCAGCGCGAGTCGAAGGACGTCAACAGTCGTTAAAACTTTAACGAAGAAGGATCGCGCCGCATCGTCGATGCATCATCGATGCATCGGCGATGTCCGAGTGGTGAAAATCGGGCTCCACATCGAGCCGCATCGCCGATACATCGGCGATGCGGCCCGGCGATGCGGCCCGATCTTTCGACTCCATCCACTCGGACTCCATTTGGGAGGCCTGGATTCGAAGACCTCAAGACGAAGATCAAACGGGGTGAAAATAGATTGAGAATCTCTGAGATCTCGCTGGCCTGGAGGATGTATCTGGCGCCGCGGTCTTCTTACAGCATCACGGAACGCTCTGAAAGCGCTCTGGAACACTCCGGAACGGATTATCCTTCTCCTAGCCGCCTGATCTTCGTAAGAAGGACTTCGTGGGTGCCAAGCCTGATTCGGGAGCCATTGAACTGGATCAGGCTCGACTGGGCGCAAAATTGGCCCCGATTGGGCTGGTAAAAGGAGGGATGGAACGCAGTCCTGCGGGGCGATGCTGGGTTTATGGCTCGTCTTTTCCTGCTCCCGCTGCCAAATAAAGCCCAGGGCTCGACTCACGAACGATGGGAGCTATCACGAGACTCGTGGGACCGAGCAGGCATTAAGACCTGCGCTTCGATTTCCGTCAGTGCGTGACCGCGCTGTTTAGATCCGGGTGTAACCCGATCCTAGGAGGCACCCTGCGTCTGCGTTCTGCGAACTGCTGCCTCCGAGGGGCCTGATCCGATCCGATCTTACAACAGAACCACGCGCGCGCTTAGGTTCTACCTTAGTCCGGGGCAACGGCGAAACAACGGAGGGGGGGTCGAAGGCAGAATGCGCTTCAGTTCTTCGACGAGTTTCGTGGGTCGTGGTTCGAAAAGCTTTCGGGCGCTCCTCACCCCCAGGCGGCCCGAGGAAGCCGAAAACGACACATCTTCCTCGTCCTCCTCTCTCCCCCCTCCTCTTCCTCCTCCGCCTCCTACTCCTCCTCCTCTCCTCATGGTCCCCTCCTGTTACTCCTCCCTCCTCCTGCTCCTCTCCTCCTCTCCCTCCTCCTCCTCCTCCTCCTCCTCGTCCTCCTCCTCCGTCGCTCCTCCGATCCTCCGCCTCCGCCTCCGCTTCCTCCTTCTTCTTCTTCCTCCTCCTCCTCCTCCTCCTCCTCATCATCATCATCAACATCATCATCAGCATCATGGTCCTCCTCACTACTCCCCCTCCTCCTCCTTCTCCTCCTCCTCCCACCCCTCCTCGTCCCCCTCCTCCTCCTCCTGGCTCCTCCTTCCTTCTCCTCCTCCTCCTCCTCCTCCTCGTCCTCGTCCTCCTTCCCTCCTCCTCCTCCTCCTCCTCGTCCCTCGTCGTCCTCCTCCTCTCCTCTCTTCCTTCTCCTCTTCCTCTTCTCCCTCCTCGCCTCTTCTCGTCCTCGTCCTCCTCCTCCTCCTCCTCTCCTTCCGCCGCTCCGACCCCCTCTTCCTCCCTCTCTCCTCCTCCTCTCTGCTCCTCCTCCTCCTCCTCCACCTCCTTTCTCCTCCTCCTCCTCCTCCTCCTCCTCCTCCTCCTGCTCCTCCTCCTCCTCCTCCTCTCTCCTCCTCACTCCCCTCCTCCTCCTCCTCGTGAGGCCTCGCTCAATCTACCCTTCTCCGCGGCTCGTCCTGCGTCCTCCGGCGTGCCTCGTCCTCCTCACTCCTCCCTCCTCCTCCTCCTCCTCTTCTCCTCTTCCCTCCTCCTCCTCCTCCTCCTCCTCCTCCTCCTCCTCCTCCTCTTACTCTCCTCCCCTCCTCCTCTTACTCCTCCTCCTCCTCTCCCTCCTCCTCCTCCTCCTCCTCCTCCTCCTCCTCCTCCTCCTGCTCATTTCCTCCTCCTGTCCAGCCTACATGGCTCACCCAGTCGGCACAGCAACGCCGCGCATGCACCGGGCCACATCGGATGAAGGGAGCACTCGGAGGAGGCCTCCCGAGATGGCTTGAAGATGGCCGAAGAAGGCCCCAAGAGGGCCTTCAAGGGGCAACAATCGGCCCCTTCCCATTGTAAGACGTACGTTTTCAGCATGCTCGCTTGCTTCGTCTTCAGTGCCCCAGACGCCCCCGAGGAACCCCAAAACAACCCAAGAGAAACCCAAAAGGGTCCAATACGACCCAAAAGGGTCGTCCTGCGGGGTTCACGGACCCCCCCAAGACGGCCCAAGAGGCCCCGAAGCCAGCCCAGGAGGCCCCCAAAGACGGCCTCAGGGAGGCCCAAGAGGGCTTCGTTCGAAATCATGTTCCCGGAAGCCTCTCCAGGAACGTGATTTCCGGTTTCCCAGGGGGGTGCCCAAAGAGGGCCCCAGGACGGCCCCCCAAAGGCCCCAAAAGGAGACTCAAAAAGGCCCGGGAGGGCCACGATTCGTTGATTTGCGCGAGATGTTGTTCGATTTCTTCTGCGCGGAAGAGACGGAGAGGGCGAAGGAGGAGAAAGAAGAAGAAGAGCAAAAGGAGGAGGCGGGGAGGAGGAGTGGAGGGGAGGAGGTGGGGAGAGAGAAGGAAGCTCGAGCGCGATCGACGATCGGCGACGACGACCGGCAACGTTGATTGACGACGACGACGACGAAGACGACGACGGTCAACGACCGACGACGACAATCGACGACGATGACAACAGTCGACGCCGCCCATCGACGATCGACGGCGACGACGACGACGGTCACGCCGCCCTGAGCCCAAAGTGGCTCGGTGCACGCAGACAGCGTCGCCGCCGTCGCCGTGGCCGTCGTCGTCGTTCGCCGATCGGCGGCGTCAACTGTTGTCATCGTCGTCGATCGTCGTCGTCGTCGGTCGTCGCCGTCGACGACCGTCGTCGTCATCGTCAATCAGTCGCCGATTACCGTCGCCGATCGTCAATCGCCCTCGAGCCCTCCCCCCCACTCCTCCTCCCCTCCACTCCTCCTCCCCGCCTCCTCCTCCTCCTCCTCTTCCTTCTCCTCCTCCTCTTCTTTCGCCCTCTCCGTCTCCTCCGCGCAGAAGACATCCAACAACATCTCGCGCAGATCAACGAACTGTGGTCATCGGGGCCTTTTTGGGCCTCTTTGACTGTCCTCTATAGGGCCCCTCTGGGGGCCGTCCTGGGGCCCTCTTTGGGCGCCCTGGGAGCTCGGAGATCATGTTCCCGGAGAGGCTTCCGGGAACACGATTTCGAACGAGGCCTTTTTTATATGTTTCACCCATCGGGGCTCAGGAGGCTCCAGGGGGTCCCAGTAGAAGCAAGGGCTCCCAACTTCGCGCTTCGCGCTGCGCGAAGCGCGAAGTGCGAATAACTTCGCGCTCTCGCGCCGCCCCCCAAGGGGGAGAAGAGGAGGACGAGGAGGAGGAGGAGAAGGAACGAGGACCGCGAAGCGCGAAGCGCGAATAACTTCGCGCCCTCGAGGGAGCCCTTGTAAGGCGGTCAACTCCTTGGTCGAGCAGTTCAACACGGTCGTGGCGAGGGGGGGGGAGCCCACGGTCCGAGGGGAGCCCCCGCCTGCCGAACGGGGCACTCTCAGGCCTCCCTGGGGCCGTCTGGGGGGCCTCCCGGGCCGGCCCTGGGGCAGCCCGACCCCTCGGGCTTCTTCTCTCTCCACGCCTCCAAGCGCCAGCGACGGGGCGCTAGAGCCAAAACGGGCAATAGTACATAGATGGATGGGCCCCGCACGTCACCTCACTCGCACTCCCTGCGCTCCCGAATCTCCATGCTCAGGCTTGCTCCGATCCAGATCTGCACTCTTGGGCGCCTCTGGGGCCGTCTTGGGGCCCTCTTGGGCCGTTTTGGGGGCCTCTTGGGAACCTCTTGGGCCGTCTTGGGGCGGTCTTGGGGGCCTCGTGGACCGTCTTCAACGCCGTGAAAGCCGAAAAGCCGTGCATGCTAAAAATGTACGTTTTCCCATAGAATGATTTTGGCCTCCTGGTGGCCTCTTGGGACGCCTCTTGGGGGCCTCGTGGGGCTTCTTTGGGGGCTCTTGGGGCCTCCTGGGAGCGTCTTGGGACGAAA